TTTCTGTGAAACTATGAAAGCTCAGTTTCTTTGTGTATAAAATGGGTGAGGTAATAAATCCTACCCTATGGCTTGTTCTAAGGTATACAGTATCCACCACGAGAGGCACAAGAAATCATGGCTGCTATTACTAAAGATGCATATGCCTTCTCCATCCAGTTGGATTATGAGCTTTTTTACGTGTAAGGGTATTTATTTTCAGAACTATATAGAGAGGTCAAAAAACTGGAAGCAAGGTAAATGTTTATTAATAGGGAAAACAGTAAATAAATTTTGGTCTATCCACACTGTGGTTATTAAGCAGCCAATAACAAGAAAAAGCTAGAGTACATTTCCAGATAGTTCTTTGTGCCTTTTTGCACGTTTCTATTCTGTGGCATTTTTCAGTGCAGACACTGGAAAGTTTCTCCATTCCTGATGCCCCTCTCCTAAAACTCTTAGGTGCTTTTGTCTACATTTTCCCTTCTTGATTATAAACTAAAGCCCAAACTAAATTCAGACACATGATTAAACCAAAAAATCTAGGCATGGGAACATTTCGGGTACTGACTCTGTGTAGGTCTTGTACTATGCAAATCTAACTAACTTGGATTATGAACTTCTTGAGAGTAAAAACCAAGACTGTGCAACATAGTGTGCTTTTCACTTGATAGCTCAGAAGTATTGTTCAAATGGTTAAAGCTGCTCCTGAATCTGAATTCCACATCCTTTTCATCATTTATTCAATCACTTATTAAACAAACATTCACTGAAGGCTTAATGCGTGCTAACGAGCAAAGCTGCAGTCACAGAGCTGCTTTTTGCCAAGGTTCTGTATAAAATGTCATGACATGGGGCATCTGGGTGGCTCAGTCAGTTAAGCATCCGACTTCAGCTCAGGTCGTGATCTCAGTTTGTGAGTTTGAGCCTCGTGTTAGGCTCTGTCCTGAAAGTTCTGAGCCTGGAGCCTGCTTCAGATTCTGTGTCTCCTTCTCTCTCTGGCCCTCCCCTACTTGTGCTCTGTCTCTCTCTGTCTCTCAAAAATAAATAAATGTTAAAAAAAAGATTAAATTTTAAAAAAATGTCATGACATTAACAAAGGGGAAGAATAGTAGCAGACTCTTGCATGGCAGACTCTTGGCATCAAGCCTTCACGTTACCCAGAGGAACTGCATAGTGCAGAAATGCAGTTCCGTGCTACCAGGACAAAATAGCTCCTAATGAATCACTGTAGTTATCTCTAAAACACTTTGGGAAACAGCCTTTCCAATTCGGCAACATACAATTCTTTATTCTACAATGGCATTTAAGTTAACTTCCATGTCTGAATATTCATGCCTTACCCAAAAAACAAAATGAACGCTAGAGCCAATTTTCCAATATTTCTCTTTTCTAACTCCAAACACCAGTTCACTTAATCTCTGTGTATTAATAATATACATTATTAAGTATTAAAGAGTGTTTATTCAAAAAAAAAATACTACTACCTACTCAAGATCTGAAAACACGTAACTTTCTTGTAACTGCTTTCTTCCTGCCCAACATAAGATACTTGCTAATCAATCCATTCAGGACTTTCCCAAAGAGGAAATTCAGGAGTAATTTCTATAAAACATGCTGGAATCGATTCTATTTTGGTGACATCGATCTCACTCCAAACAGGAACCTAATTGATTCCTGGAAAAATCTTTGTCCTTTTGAATAGAAACTCATTGGAAGATATAGAAGACACAGATCAATTGGAAGATAAATCCATTTGAAAATTTGCCCACTTTCAAACACACTGAGACAAGTGTCCAGGAATACTTCAACCGTGACTATAGACTTTGAAGATGTTAACACATCCTTTATGGTCCAGTCAGAAAAAAAGATACTGAGAGACTGCAACTTAACTTTGTCAGAACGTTCAATTTATAACTAACCACAGTTGGGCTTCTAGTACTTAAAATATATGTCTCATAGGTAAAAATAATAACAAATAAATTAAATTTTTTTATTTTTTAAGCTTATTTATTTATTTTGAGAGAAACAGAGACAGCATGAGTAGGGGAGGGGCAGAGATGGAGAATCCGAAGCAGGCTCCACACTGTCAGCACAGAGCCTGATGCAGGGCTTGAACTCGCAAAACCATGAAATCATGACCTGAGCTGAAACTGAAAGTCAGACGCTTAGCTGACCGAGCCACCCAGGCATCCCAACAAATAAAATTTTTAAGTTAAAAAATAAGATTTAAAAATGTTTAATAGAAAGTAGGTAATATCAAATTAACCTTAAAAATTATATCATGGATAAAGGCAATTTAAAAATTTAAGCTGTTTTCACAAATTTAAACTGTTGACAGTAGATGAAATGAAAAAATCAAAATTAAATGGCCCTATTCCAGGTACTTTTATTGTTCAAGCATTAATCCAACACCTCCTTGGCATTCACACTGCCTTGCATCTACCCTATCCAAGGGTAAGTTATGTGAACAGCCCTGTCAATATATACAGGAAAGGTTACTTCAGATCTGATTAGATCATTAGTAACCTAGATCTTCTCAGATGGGTAGACTTTAGTAAGGTTGGAGACAGTGTAGCAAGGCTAAACATGGCAATTAAAATTTATTAACTCATAAACATTAAAGAATAAAAGTATCAGGTTAGTTTGTCTCATCAACTTCAAGTATTTAGGTTATTCAAAAAAGTAAAAATGCCACTTGCATAGGCTAGAATTTCACACGCTCTCCAATTTGAATTATACTGGTTTCCTATAATTACCTTACATATTCTATAAAAATTTGAAACAAACAAGTTACTTATTAGAAATCAAGCTAAGAACAACCCTGAGAGTCCTTCTGGACAATTATATTATTTTCAATTACCAAAATATTAATCTAGAATTAAGCAGACTCACTTGCTCCATTAATATCGTAGAAGAAAAAAAAAATTTTTTTAATACTGAATAAAGGAAAACCACAGTCCTAATGTAACCACCACCACAAAAATGCAAACAAATTCAGTTTGTTTCCTTGGATTCCAAAAACACACCACTGGTCTTTATATTGTCTGAAGGACTTTAAGCTACTTTCTCTGCTACGGAGCCTAACATACCACTGTGTAGATTACAAAACAGATATTTATTTATGCTTTAACAAAAAGAACACTGAGAACCATCATAAATGGTTCATCATAAATAAACATTGATTTAACTACAGTTCAGATTCACAACTCACTTATTCATCCTCCAGTGATTTGAGAACTAAGAGAAATCACCCCTCTAGATATTAGTAGTTGGGTTGAAGATCCTCAATAGATTGCTTTATTTTCAGTTTGTATTTCAGAGCTATGATTTTAATTTTACATTCACTTTCAATATCGAAAATCTGCTTCCTTCAAGATGCTCCCGATTGAGCCTAGGTCAGCAGATTATAAGGATGCCAGAACTGCTAAGGCAGCAATCTATGTCCACTCTGAAACCGTCTCCCTCCAATTTTCCTACCCCAGCCTCTCTGCGTGGCCTACCCTCCTGGAATAAGGTCTGGTTATAACCTTAGGATGACTCTCAACAGGGGTTTTAAATGGAAAGTGGTCTCTTCCAAAATTAGACAAGCCACACTTATTTTCAAACAAGCAAAATTAAAATTCAGAATCAAGTTAGCAATAGAAACCACTAATTAACTTTGCCAAGGCTTAAGAGTCTTCTTTTGAAGACTTCCCCTTGATTCCCTGAGGATTTTGGCAACTAAAGGAAAGACATAAGGGCCAGAATATTTGTATGTTTCAAACGCAATTCTACGAAATTTGAAACTAAGTAAACTATTGCCTTCAAGGGTACTCACACATACCTCATTTTTTCAAAGGTAGTAGTTCTCATTTTTCTAAAATAGGTCTTGCATTCACATGGTTAAAAAAAAAGGGGGGGGTCCCCAAAGGTAGTGAAATTAAGTCTCCCTCTCCCCCTTCCCTCCCCAAAACCAACTACTGTTTCTCGAGGCCCCTTCCGTCCGCATTCTATGTACGTGAAAACATACGCAAGTATTTTAAACCAATTATCCTATATTATACACCCAACGGCAGCTGCAAAATTGCTGCTGAACGCCTCTGGGCTAAAAGGTGGCAATCTGCTCGGGAGTGCGTGGTGGGAGGAAGGAGACTTATCTCGAAGCTGTGGTTTTGCACATCATGCACCCAGTTTTTAGCTCGTATCACTTGCATGCCTATGGCAGGCGGTCGACGATCAGGGGAAGAGGTAAACCCATCACAAGCCATCCCCAGACACTGCCACTATATCCGTACTGGTCTGGCTTTCATCTATGTCCCAATCTTTAGGTATATTTTGTATTCGAACTGGGTTAAAATGAAGTATCTTAGCTCACCTTTATAAAAAAAAAAAAAAAGCAGCCTAATTCTGACGGTAACTTTCAGCACCAGGTGATTTCCTCCTAGCGAAACCCGCAGCCCACTTCTGTCTTGCCCTTAGGAAGGGTTCAGCCTGGCACCGAGTTGGAGGGGCGAGCCAAGACCAGAAAAGAAAGCCCAGAGACGGGAAGCCCGAAGAGGTGAGGTCGTCCCGAGCCCTGGGCCGCGCTTCTTTTAGAGGCAAATGCTTCGAAGCTGAAGCCCGAGACCCCTGGGCCCCCAGGCGTCCTTCCTGGGGATGCTCGCGCGCTGGGGCACACCACCACAGCTCGCCCCTCCGACCCGGGGCGCGGCTGGGCCCCCACGACCCGCCGGGACCGGGTCCCCCTCCGCTCGCCTTCCCGGGGCCGCGGGACGCACCCCGGAGCGCAGGCGTCCAGGCAGCCCCCGACGCCCCGCGGCCCCCGGGGCCCCCCAGCGCTGGGCCGCCCGCGCGCCCCCGCCGCGATGGAAGCCACAGGTAGGGGGGCGGAGCGCGCTCACCTGCGCAGGAGGGGCGCTCTCGGCGCCCGCGGGAGAGGAGGAGGTGGAGGAGGCCATGTTGTCGGGCTGCGGCCGCCGCTCCTTCCGAGAACTCGGCTCTCCGCTCCCCGCCCCGCTCCTCCTGCCCCCAAAAGTGCGACTTCTGGAGAAAAAGTTCGGCTGCTGCTCAGCAACGCCGAGCGCGGCCCCGCGACGCCCGCCCCGTGGCTGTCTCCTCCCCCTGCTGTGTCCTCCGCGCCCGCCAGGTGCCCGCCCGGGCGGGAGTGCGGGGGGCGGGCCCCGGCTCAGGTAGGGGCGCGGCGGAGGGGCGAGCCCGCGCCCCGCCGGCCGCCAGCCGGGCGAGCATGCCCGGTGGGCGGGCGCCAGGGGGTCGGGGCGGCCGCGGGCGGGGCGGGTGGCCTTACCTGGGGAGGAGGGGAGCCCAGGTAGCTCCGGGAAGGGCGGGCGGGCAGGTCCTGGTTCCCGTGGGCTGCTCAACACGGTTCCCCTAGCCACGTCCGTTGAACAAAATAGTAAGAAAATCTCTGATTATATGATTAATTGGTGCTTATCGAAGCTCAAGTGAATAAAATCATAGAGCAATGTTGCTTCTGCTCGTTTATTATTATCAATCTATACCATACAACCCATAAGAAGCCATGTTTGCCAGGCAGACAGCTTCAGAACAGGGTCCACAGCCTCCGGTCCTCCCCACCCGGGCCCCAGCAGCACACGGACTGACTCAGCTACCTGTCCAGTTAAAACATAAAATTCCAGAGCCGTCCGGGATGTGAGGTAGGCACTCAGCCTGATCTAGCAAAGAAATAGGGGACAGGACCTCTGAGTGTCCTTGTTTCTAGAGGCGTAAATAACCAGGCTTGCGGAGCTCCTGTCCTGGATCAGGCTGAGGGACCGTTGGCTTCAGGTGGCTTCCCCCCACGGCATTTATTATTCGAATTCAGATCCGGGTGTGGAGCAATGTCTCTCAGAGGGACAGAGCCTCTCCCTGGAGTCAGGGGAGATGCCTTCAGTCTGTGCACCGAGCAGGGCCAGGGCATTAAAGGACAGCCAATCACATTGGCAGGAAACTTATTCCCTTTTCAATTCTTTTTCAGTTCTTCTGATTATAACCAGAAGAAGGTGTTCTGACCCTAAACTATTTAACAAAGAGCAGGCCCCAAGCTCAAAGCCCTATGTAAGCACTGGAATCCAACTAGAATTTATAGCATTGTTAAATTTTCATTGTTTAGTTTCATTGTTTATTGTTACTGTTACTTTCTATTTATGGCAAGTGAAAGCGGTTTTCTGTTTATGGTAGGGATTCAGTTTCCCTTTTAAGCAAGTACATGTAAGTGTTTTTAAGTTATGTAGATAAAGATAGTAATAATTCAGGTGGGACTGAGATAAAATTCTAGAGGTAGGTCTGGGATGATTGAAATGCACAATGTTTACATCAAGTTGCAGAATAACTCCTTAACCAGAAACTAGTGAGTTAGCTGTGCCTCTATTTTAATACCTCACTCACTTTCTCCATAACACACATAAGGCTGGAATAACATTTATTGGTACCAGCTCTATGTTGGGCTCTGTGCTAAGCATCATATTCATAACATCACATTTAGTCCTCCCCAAATCATTGCAAGTCAAGGAGTACAATCTGGAAATTGGGTCTTGGGAAGATTATTTTGGCCAAGATTACAAACCAATAGATCACTACCGACTCTACAGTTTGGGCATTCTTTTTTTTTTTTTTTTTTTAAGTATTTATTATTGAGAGACAGAGACAGAGTACAAGCTGGGGAGGGACAGAGAGAGAAGGAGACACAGAATCTGAAGCAGGCTCCAGTCTCTTAGCTGTCAGCACAGAGGCCCACGCGGGGCTTGAACTCATGAACCATGAGATCATGACCCGAGCTGAAGTCGGACGCTTAACCGACTGAGTTGCCCAGGCGCCCCTACTTTGGGCATTCTTAACCTGAGTTTTAAAAACCACTTTGGGGCACCTGGTGGCTCAGTTGGTTAAGCCTCCAACTTCGGCTCGGGTCAAGATCTTACAGTTTGTGAGTTCAAGCCCCACGTGGGGCTCTGTGCTGACAGCTAGCTCAGAGCCTGGAGCCTGTTTCAGATTCTGTGTCTCCCTCTGTCTCTGCCCCTCCCCCACTTGCACTCTGTTTCTCTCTATCAAAAATAAACATTAAAAAAAATCCTGATTAAATAAATAAAAACCACTTCAGAATTTAGCATGTCCATATATACCCTGAAATTTTATATTAAATTCAACTTTTCAAAGAGATCTAAATGTGTTCCAAAAGTTTTAAGAGCCACTGTTATCATTATTTACAAAACATTCCCATATCTTGGATTATAAGGTCCAGAGAGGCAAATGCTCTGTCTTCTTACATCTTTACTGTGCCCAGCCTGGTGCTTTATCCCCTCAGCTTGCTCAGGAATCAGTTGAACTCAGTTAAATGTGGGAAGCACATAATTCAGGCTAAACTAATGGGTGGAGGTAGCTTGGGAAGAGCATCCCTTTGGTAAATCCTACACACACACACACACACACACACACACACACACACACACACACACACAGGTATTTTACAAGCCAGCTCCCTGGCACCCTTACAGCCATAAGAGCCATCTTAAACAAGTGGCAGGGAGCCAACCAGGTAGACAAAGGAGGGAGGATGGTGCAAAAGCCCAGCAGGAAGTTAACACAAGAAGTTAGCACAAGAGCTGAGCCCAGAAAGTCATGCTGTCTTGCAGAGCTCTTCCAGTCCAGTCTGTTTCTCGGTCTGCCTGCTTCTGAGAAACAGTTGTGTTCACCTCAAAGACATTTCTCATCCAGAGGCAGGCTGCAACACCACTGGAAAAGCTGAGAGTCTGGCAGCACTCTCCTACCTTTAAAAACTAAAATTAAACCTAGATCTTTCCATACTGCCATGACCACTTCTAATTTGGGCCTTCTACTCTCTGTCACTCCTGTCACAGCCGAGTGTCTTAAAAGGACGGTGGTCCCTTGCACAGTCCTCTGTCAGGGTCGCTCTCTGCCCCTCTTCAATAACTGAAACTGCTCTTCTCAAATCACAGTTGACATCCTATTGGCCATGTCCATTGCAGAGTTTTCTAGACTTCATTTATCTCAGTTGATCTTTCTAGGGCAATTAACATGGTTGAGTTTCTTTTCCTTCCCCTTAAGTATTTTCTTGGATTTTGACCTCAGTCTTCCTTACCTCTCATACAGGCATTGTCTCTCTGTGATCTCATCCATAGCAAGGCTTTCCAGCTATCACAAAACAACTCCCAAATCCAACTGAGCTAATTTCCCTAATCCCCAAACCCATATTTCATCATGTCCAAAATGGAATGCCAATCAACAGAGACCCCGAGGCCAAGAGAGGAAGCTTGCAGGTCTTGGAGGGGAGGAGGCTCTGCACCCCCTCCCCCCCAGTCCAATCAGATACTGAGTCCTAACTAATTCCTTAAAATATCTCTAAGTCTTCCCCACTACACCCCTGCCTTTGCCCTTCCAATCACTACAAGTTATTGAGCAATTACTATGTGCAAACCATGCCAACTTTCATTTTCTGATCATCTCTCATTAGACAACTACAGAAGCCTGAACTTGTGTAGTGCTTCAGCTCTGTCATCTGACATTATGATTTTTCTATAATTTCAAATCTGTTCACATGATTACACACTGTTAAAATCTCTTTCTAGCTCTCTTATGCTTCAGGATAAAGGTTAGATTTAGCAAAGGACCCTGACCTCTACTTCTACCTGATCTCAGCTGTTCTCCATCAGCATTTCCATCTCCATGCCCTTCTCAGTTTCAGACACACCTTACACATAGCCATTCTGAATCCTTTCCCCCCAAATACCAAGTCCATTGTCTTTCTACAGGCAGTCCCTACTGCCTTGAAAACCCTCTGCCCCATCCTCCAGTCCTCTATCTTCTCTATCATCTCTGTGGGGTTAACTCCTATTCATCCAGCAAAATTCTATTCAGAAAATACATCTTTCAGGAAGGCTTCCCTGACAACTTTTCAATTAAAATGTGGTTCAGTGGCACCAGGCTGGCTCAGTTGGTAGAGCTTGTGACTCTTGATCTCAGGGTCATGAATTTGAGCCCCACATTCGTTTTAGAGATTACTTGAAAAAAATAAAACAAAAAAAAATTTAATGTGGTTCATCACCCTTTCTTTGTTCTTCCAAAACAACCAGCAGTATAACTGTAGCTATTTTGAAGAATAGATCTACACTTTTCTCAAATCAGAAATCTTAAACATTACAATAACTAATAACCTACACCAAATTGATGTGAGGCTATTTATAGTCTTTATTCCATTTAATGTGAATAGTCACATTTTTTTAAAATGTTTTTTCATTTATTTCTGAGAGTGAGAGAGACAGCATGAGCAGGGGAGGGTCAGAGAGAGAGGGAGACACAGAATCCGAAGCAGGCTCCAGGCTCTGAGCTAGCTGTCAGCACAGAGCCCGACGCAGGGCTCGAACCCACAAACCGCGAGATCATGACCTAAGCGAAAGTCGGACGCTTAACCGACTAAGCCACCCAGGCACCCCAATAGTCACATGTTTTAATTGTGGAGTACTGCCCCACACCCTTTTATGGCTATTATACAATATACAGCATGTGCACCTTATTAACATTCGAAAGATTTAGGATTGTGACACTCACCTGCCTTCAAAGGTTTCAGATTAGGTATATAGATCTATATAACCATTGCTTTCCTTGTCTGTCTCACCTTATAATCAAAACATTCTTGAAGTGTCAACTCTATCTTTTTCATGTCCAAATCCCCAGTATCTAACACAATGTCAGGCTCAATAGAAGTTTGCTGAAAAAATTAAGGATATATTTATGAGCTTGGACTGTATTTCATCGGACTGATTCCCAAGGTCGAAACCTGATGCCTTTCCCTGCTTCCTGCTTGGCTGTTCCTCCTCTGTGCTACTCTATACCTTGCATGCACATCATATTTCTCACTGTATAATAATTGTTTGCATAACTATGTCTGCAGTGAGACTGAGCAGGTTGAAAGTGAAGATGATGATGTATTAATCTCTGTATTTCTGTGTTTGCAGTAACCAGCACAATGTCAGATATGTTACACACTGGCTCAGTACACTCTGTTCAACTATAGAGAATAGAAAGTGTCAGCAGAGGAGAGAGGAAAGAAGGAAAGATAAAAAGAAGAATGTGGAAGAAGTCTGGGTGAAGATGATTTAATCTCTGTTAAGAGAACCCTAGTAGAATATTCTGAATTCTATCACTTCACAATGTTTGTCATATTTGTGCATCACCTTTATTACTTAGTATTTTTATTTACATTAACTTACTCTTTAGCTCACAAATTTATTTTTAAAAGAAATATTATCTCATTATGTTAATGGAAAAGCACTTTCACTTGTTCCCAACAAATATGATGAAAACAAATAATTGTAAATTTCTTGATTTATTCTGCATTCTGCCTGAGTCCTCGGTCTTAAATTTTAAAAAAAATTTAACAAGGGTTTAGAAGATACAAGCACTGGCACTAGATGTAAACTTTCTCCTAACTGTTAACAAAAGTAGTGAATATCTTGTTTTTAAGCCATCTAATGTTACCTCAAGAACCACCACTAGAAGAGCTCTTACCCCTTCTTACCTTCACTCTGCTTCTACATTTATATATTTCTACACAACTCCAATTAGACACTCTATTCCTTCCAGAGTAATTACAACTATTATCAGACTCTAACTCAGAAGTGTGTTTAAACAGTAGGAATTTCCCACCTGGACATTAGCAAATGAGAAAAGTTGACTTTTTACATGATCTCTATGGAATCTGCAATAAACAGGAAATAAGAGTTATTACAGAAAGTTTTTGCATGTGAGAAAAAAAAATTTAAGTTCAGGAGATTATGGTTAGTGAATGTGTATTTGTTTCACAAGATAAGCAACTAACAGAAAAACATTTCTCAAATAAAAGAAACATATTTGGTTACCACTATCCATTGGGACTCACTGTATATAGGAATATGTCCCTTAATTTGTAAATTTTATGAGAGAAAACAGCTCACCAAGCACAAAGTTAAACCAAAATATTTTCTCTCTTGTGGCTTTTGGCCTTTCTCCCCATTTATGGTCTCTACTGGGTAGAAACTCATACTTCTAAATATACAGTTAAAGATCATGGCTTAGAAATATTTTTATCAAGGTCAACTAGAATGAGAAAACAATGTTTGTGTATTGGGTAAGTTTTTACAATCCCATTTAGAATACGGTTAAATAATGTATTTTAGTGTCTACTTCCATCACTTAATTCCTTAAATTTCTTCAACATTTGAAAGGAAATAGAGATTATTTGGGTATCTCCTATGGAATGAGAAACACTGTCTGAGTTAACATATTTTAAAAACCCAATTACATGGGACACCTGGCTGGTTCAGTTTGTGAGCATGTGACTCTTGATCTCAGGATCATGAGTTTGAGCCCCACATTGAATGTAGAGATTACTCAAAAATAGAATTTTTTAAAAATCTCAATCATAAAATAGTTTACAAAAATGGGTAATAATCATAATCATAATAAACTTCATAGTAGAGTTACAGAAAAGATCATTGTGGTAAACTCTACTTTATTTCCACATTCTGATATGATCATAATATGATTGATCACTTCTCCTTACTTTGGTTTGGAATTTCAAAAACACATAACGTGATGATAATATGAATAATAGTAATATCAATCCTCAAAAATACATATAAAAAGTTATCATAAATCAAAACTAGCAATGAGAGATAAATTAGTAACTTTCAGCCTTAAAGTAAGAAGGAAAAGCAAACTTATTACCCTTGCCTGAATTCCCACCTAAATGAGCTGTGTCGATTCTCATTGAGGGTGCTTTGGAAAGTAAAGAGGCACTTTGAGTTGTTCATTGGCATACCGTCTAGGACACCAGAGAAAAGGAATGAATGAAAATGACACCTTGAGAACAAGATTGCAGAGAATAAAAAGGAACAGACTTTCCTTTAAAATGTTTTCCTTGGGGCGCCTGGGTGGCTTAGTCGGTTAAGCGTCCGACTTTCGCTTAGGTCATGATCTCGCGGTTCGTGGGTTCGAGCCCCGCGTCGGGCTCTGTGCTGACTGCCAGCTCAGAGCCTGGAGCCTGTTTCGGTCTGTGACTCCCTCTCTCTCTGACCCTCCCCTGCTCACGCTGTCTCTTTTTCTCTCTCTCCTAGAAATAAATAAAAAAATATTTAAAATAAATAAATAAATAAATAAATAAAATGTTTTCCTTTTGGGGCGCCTGGGTGGCTCAGTTGGTTAAGCATCTGACTTCCGCCCAGGTCATGATCTCATGGTTCATGAGTTTAAGCCCTGCATCAAGCTCTGTGCTGACAGCTCAGAGCCTGGGGCCTGCTTCCACTTCTGTGTCTGCCTCTCCCTCTGCCCCTCCCCCACTTGCGCTCTCTCTGTCTCTTTCAGAAATAAATAAATGTTTTTTAAAAATTTAAGTAAATAAATAAAATGTTTTTTTTTTCCCCACATACTCCTTTTAGTTCCCTCTTGCTTCGTTTTGATTCTGATAAACCAGAACCAAGTTTTTTTAATTCAGATGTTTGCATCCTTGTCCTGAACCAAGGAAAAAAATAACCATGAAGCTCCTTAACCTACTGCCTGCATGCTTTGCTCCCACATCCCATGGAATCACCCGTTTCTGTCTTTGTGTTTTACAAAGCCGTTTCTAGTAGCCTTCTGCAGGACTTCTGCATCTAGGAATTCTAATTGTATACCACTGTGTGATATAGAACTTTGAACTTCAAATCTGAGTTTTTAAATTCAAACAGGAAAATGAGTAAATAGTTAAGTGTGACTTGATGAAAATAGAAACACACCAGTACAACTCCCCAACACTGACCCAAACTAGCTACACCTTCCAAGAGCATCAAAACTTTCCAGGCACGAAGACATGCTATAATTGATCATTTTATCTTAGCCACTCTTATCAAAACCAGTGTATAGCTTGCTTAAATTTTACATAGAGAGCCATATGAAATTCTTGTGGACACTCTCAGGACACTGACACACTCAGACTTCGGGATCACCAACTTAGTTAAAACTGACAACCAGTGACAGTCTTCACAATCTTCAGTCCAGTGCTATCCTTTCTTTATAAAATCGTATCATCAATTTCTCTTCTAAATACATGTGCTTCCACATATAATTGAGCAAGCTTCTGTACTGCAAAAGGATGCCACACCCAGGTGCCATTCACATGACAGTTATGGTAGAGGTGAATATTTATATTTTGTGTTTTTGGCAGATAGCCCTAAGAAAGCCACTATATATTTTTTAATTCTCAAGTTAGTTAAAATACATGGCTTCAGGGGTAGAACTCAGTGATTCATCACTTATGTAAAACACCCAGGGCTCATCCAAAAAGTACCTTCCTTAATGCCCATCACCTATTTAATCCATCCCCCTGCTTCTCCACCCCCATCAACTGTCAATTTATTCTCTGTATTTAAGAGTCTTATGGTTTGCTTCCCTCTCTGTTTTTATCTTACTTTTTCCTTTCCTTCCCCTTGATCATCTGTTAAGTTTCTCAAATTCCACATATGAGTAAAATCATATATCTGTCTTTCTCCAACTGACTTATTTCATTTAGCACAATATCCTCCAGTCCCATTCACGTTGTTGCAAATGGCAAGACTTCATCCCTTTTCATTGCCAAGCAGTATTCCATTGTAGATTATACCACATCTTTATCCATTCATTGGTTGATAGACATGTGGTCTCTTTCCATAATTTGGCTATTGTTGATAGCACTGCTATAAAACATTGAGGTGCATGTGCCCTTTGAATCAGCATTTTTGTATCCTTTGGATAAATTCTTAGTAGTGCAGTTGCTGGGTTGTAGGGTAGTTCTATTTTTAATTTTTTGAGGAAACTCCACACTATTTTCCAGAGTGGCTACACCAGTTTGTATTCCTGCCAATAGTGCAAATAGGGTTCCCCTTTCTCCACATCCTCACCAACATCTGTTGTTTCCTGAGTTGTTAATTTTAGCCATTCGGTGTGAGGTGGTATCTCATTGTGGTTTTGATTTGTATTTCCCTGATTATGAGAAAGAAAAACAGTATTTATAAAATATTTCCTACAGATGGAGATAAAGTATCTTGAAGAAGGAGAGAGTCTTACTTTCTTCTCATAAAGATATTCACACGCTGTCCTGTAGGTCTTCCTCAAAAGGAAATATTAAACTCAAGGTACCGTGAAAACAGGAATTAGTATATGCCTGCTAGTATATGCAACTATATATCCCAGCACCTAGCACTGGACCTAGCACATACTAAATGCTAAATTAATACTTGTTGACAACCTGACTGAACTCTGTATTTTAGGTATGGGTCTTCCAATTAATTGAAATATATTGCTTATCCTCTCCATTACTTATCCTCTCTTACACTGAATTTATAAATCTATAGTGAATGTTTTTAATAAAACTATTGATGAATAGAATGGAAAGATAGAGACATTATATAAATATTACATGATATTAGTTGTTGGTTTATATGACAGTGACATTTTAAGTATTTCAAATAATTTTATTGATCACCTCTTTATAGCTGGGGGCTTCTCTTTCACAGACCACTTGAAAAATATACTGCATGAGATGCCACTAATATTCCTCTGAATGCACTGCTCCCTAGGTGTATAGATACTGTCTTACATTCTTTCTACTCTTTGTTACAGTCTAGATCAGAGTCAGCAAACTTTTTCTGTAAAGGGGCAGAGATGAAATATTTTAGATTTTACAGACCATATGGTTTCTGTCACAACTACTCAACTTTCCTGTGTACAATGACAGCAACCCTGCTGAAATGAGCATGGTCATGTTCACATAAAACTTATTAACAAAAATAAGTGGTGGGCCAAATGAGCCACTTTGCTGACTACCAATCTAGATTGCTAGCACGCTATCCTTTGGCTTTGTAGTAGGCACCCTGTTTTATCTCAGGTAATCTTCCAAACAAATCTGCAAGATGGATATTACTAGCTGCTTTTTATGGGTGAAGAAATTAGGACCTAGCAACCCAAATTAACCAGTTCCTCCTCGCTAGTTAGCCAAGTAGTCAGATCTGTATGTATTATCATTCTGCTCTTATTCAGAGACCGTCTCTGATCTGGAATACCCCCATGCATCCTAACTGGTCTCCTGGCTTCCCTCCCTCCATCCTATACTTCACTTTTGTCACCGCATGAAGAATGTGCTTTTTAAAATGCAAATTAGATCACATGACTCCCCTGCCGAAAAGCCTCTGGTGGCTTCTATTGCCTTTGGAGTTA